GAGCAAGAGACAGCAGCTCAGGTGGGGGCTTAACTGCCTTTGCCCACCATTATTGCTACCTCTCTGTTGGGGGCTGTTCTTAAGTCACTTAACTGCGGTGTTTTCACACTACCTGTCTCATCTTTGGCAGGGGTCAAGGGTGCATCTGTGCTCTGGTCAGCTCCACCACCCTGACAGTCACAGAATGGCTATTCTACCACAAAGGCCATGTCTGTGTTCCAGACAGAAGGAAAGGGACACAGGCATGTCCAGCTTAGTCTGTTCTTCTTTGTCAGAAAAAAAAAAATTAAAAAGCCTAGCTTTCCCAGAAGCCTAACCTAATTAGACACCACTGACCAGAAAGAGGCCACACTGCCATGTGGGTGTAAAAGCTATAGACGTTTTAAATGGGGCCCACAGTCAGCAAAATAGGCCAGGAGCGAGGAGGGCCATTGCCAGGCAGACTGTGGGATCCGAGGGCTCCAGACATACCGTTAGTGTCTTGATTCCACCTGCACAGAAGTTCCTGCCTGCCGCGTGTTGCCCAAGAATCCCACTTCCAGGCATTCATTCCCAGCTAGGCCTGGTCCAACCTTTCTCCCTGCCAGAGTCACGTGGGTTTAGAGTTGAGTCCTATCAAACCACATTGTGCAAAGAGACACTTCCTGATGGATTATAAAAGAAAGATTGGGGCTGCGGAGTGACGGCTCAGCCGTTAAGAGCACTGGCTGCTCTTTCAGAGGACCCAGGTTCAGATCCCAACACCCACATGATGCCTCATAATGGTCTATACTCCAGTTCCAGTGAATCTAATGCCCTCTTCTGGCCACCACAGGCACTGCATGCACCAACACACACACACACACACACACACACACACACACACACACACAGATGTAATTTTTAAAAATTTAAATCAACTCTTGAAAGCAGAGCTTGCTAGGTCTCAACGGTGTCTTAGACACTGACCGCAGCTGCCTTCCATGACCTTTGCCCAGCTGCCCTCTCATACATATGGGCCAGGGGTCGGGCATAGTTCTCAGCGCTTGAGAGGAGATGGAGGATCAGGGAGCACCAGAGTCATTCTTAGCTACATGGTGGCATGGTGAGTTGAAGGCAAAGCTGGGATACATGAGGACTAGAGAGGGAGGGAGGGAGAGGGAGGGGGAGGGAGGTGGAGGGCAAAAAATAATCATGGTCTGCCTTCTTTTCAGCACAGCCCCTAGCACTGGGGAAGTGCCATGTACCAGGGCACTAAGGCTGTTTGCATAGCATCTTTTCCTTCTTCCTTCCTAAAACAGGGCTCTCAATTCTGTCCTGAGAAAATTGGCTGTCTCTCCATCCAGCAAGTGGGCTATGAGGGGTGGAAACCAAGTGCAACAGTGCATTTTGTGTAGGTTAGAACAACATGTGGCCTGGTGGCAGCCAATGAGAACCCTCGCAGGGATTGCAAAAGAAGTTTGCCTAAGACTAGGAAAAATGGCAAAGGGGTCTTCTTTATCTTCCTCTGCCCTGAACTCAGATGCAACACATGTAGCCACAGCAGCTGGTCTACGGTGGTGTGGCAACAAACTAACAAATTAGATGGCAGAGTGGTAAGAACAAAGATTAGGCTTGTGATCTGATCCACTGGCCCAGCCTTTGACCATATCTCAGCACTCAATGTAGTATGAGTAAAATTAACCCCATTTATTTAAGGATCTATTAACTAGGTCCTTGCCTGTTGGTCAAGTATGTTGGAACAGCAAATATATAAAAAACTGAATGCCAGGTCAGTAAAATCTGCAACCATCAGGTTTACCCAAGAGAGACAGTGGTTGTAAAGGAACATGCGGCCAGTACACAGGTTGTCCCAGGCTAATAGAAGATGTATACAGGGAGGAAATGTTCAAATGCGGCATCAACAGTAAGGCCCTTCTTTCTAACATCTTTTGAACTCAGCACAGACTCCACTCAGATAACCAACCAACCCCAGTTCTCCTGCTACATGGCAAACAGTGGCTCTGCCAAGTCACCTTTCTCCAAGATTGCAGTTGGTACCTGATGCACACACATATCCTTTACTCCCCCCCCCCCCCCCCCACCC